CTCCCAGAGTGCTGGGATTACAGGCGTGAGCCACCGCGCCCGGCCTAAAACACTATTTTTAAGATCAAATATGCAAAATCAACTTACCGAAGAAATGATTTAATGTTTTCAGCTTTCATTTCGGATACCAGTTTCCACCGTATACTTTGATGATAGCGCACTGAAGTGGCTGTTTCTTTGAGAGGCTTAATAAACCAGCCTGAGGGGAAAATATACATACATACACATAATCACTTTTGACTTTATTAAAACTAAAGGGGGGAAAAAAAGGCAATTACCTAACAGACCATACACAGTGAGCTTTAAAAAAAAATGTTCATTAGAATAGTAGGAGTATTAATAAAAAAAATGTTCACACTAAATGCAGAAAATTTTTAAATTCTGAGCTGGTTAAAACAAGTTTTATGTGAGAATGTTCTTTAATTTTCTCACATTAAACTCAAGGCCTGGCCTTTCTCATTCTCCCCTGGGCATATCTAGTTCTTAGCACAGTGCCTGACACCCAGGGGGCATTCCACAAATATTTATTTAAATCAAGAGCAGTTCTTTGCAGTGCAGCCCATATTAGTTGAAAGTTCTGACTCATTAATACTGCTTGGAAATAAACACATTTTTTTTTTCATCTCTGCAGAGAATGACAGCTGTAAGTTGTTTATTCAACAGCCCCTAACAGTAGCCTGAACTCCTTGAGCATTTAATTAATTCGAATTTCTTTCACATTTTGCCTATTAGGAAGGCCAGATATACATCCCCATTGGGTTTCCAGCTGCGCTGAAACGCGCGGAGCTCGCGGCATCCAGCGCAGCGCGCGCGCGGGCGAGCGCAAACAGCCCAGCGCCCTCCAGCTCCAGGCGTTCTCCCTGCAGCCCTGCGGAGGAGCGCGAGCCCCGGGGTCGGAAGAAAGCGTCCCGTATACTCACCAACCATAAATCCCACCAGGAAAGATGCCAGCGCTGCAGCCAAGCACATCCAAAGGTACAGACGGCCCCTGGACTTCGCCATGGCTTCTTCGGAGCTGAGTTTGGGGCGCCGGCTACCTTCGCGGGCCTCGGGGCTGCGGACCAACAGAGAGGAGCGCGGCGACGGTCACCGCAGACCTGCCCCAAGGCCCGCCCGCCTCCGCCCTCCCCGCCTGCCCAGACTAATGAAAACGAGCGCGCGCCAGGCCCCTCCCGGCCCCTGTCAGGTCCCCGGGGCGCCGGAGCAGCGAGAGGAAGCCTGCAGAGGGAGCACCCTGCAGAGGGAGCACGCATTCTTCCTGTTGGCAGGAAACTCTGGTTCTGTGGATGCCGCAGTAACCCGGACGAAGTAGGCAGCCGGAACTGCCGAAAAACGCCCCTGTTGTCTGAAGACCTCACCTACTTACTGCCTGCTTGCCACCCTCTTCCAAAGCACTGCCGGATTTCAGCTGCAAAGTGCATTTAAGTACTGCTTTTCCTGCCCTGTTGGCTACTCGGCTTCCAGGTTCTCTGTTCCAGTTTTTTACAAACTGAGGAAGAATTTGTGGTCCTGGCTGCTGCACTGTTAACACGTTAGTACCTCAACCAGGCATCCACATCAAAATTGATGGCATTGAATTTGTCTTCCCCCTTACCTAAACAAGTGTTCAAATTTCTGTCAATCTGTTTTCTCTCCTTTAACTGAGGGGTTTTTTTACCTACCTCATTAGAATGGTGTAGGTTCAAATTAATAACATTAACCAAGGAAAAGGGCCTTGCACTTCCAATAGTTCCTGACAGGAGGTTCTTAGTATTAGGGGCTCAGAAACCAACACCCCAAAATATGGGCCTTTGACATGCTGAACTGAAGGAGCAACCTCAAGGTCTCCCTGACCTTCCCCCTCTCCACCCCTTGCCTCCTGCTTCTCAATCCTTTGTCTCTCCCAAAGCACATTTATCTTGTTGTTCTCTGAAGTTCCCTTATCTACTTAAAGTCCAAACCTGCCAAAGGAATAAAACAATTACCTGTGGTCTCCTCCCTGGGTTTTCATTAACTGAACTCCTGCCATAGGAAGAAAGACTGAAGTCTATCAACACAACTGGGAAGATTTTTGTCACCAACCATTGTCTGCTCTGAGGGCCCAGGAGACTTTATCTCAGGCCATTGTATGTTCTTCAAGCTCATTGAATCCCCCTAAAAATCATTTGCTACCCGCCTAAAATCATCCACACTTCTTCATCTCCCTTTCTCTGAGAAGGGTATATAACCATCTGTACCTCATTGAGTTATTGGAAAAATCATTCTATAATTCCTTTCCTCCTATTAATCTGCCTTTTGTGAGTTGATTTCTTTTTTTTTTTTTTTTTTTTGAGACAGAGTCTCACTTTGTTGCCCAGGCTAGAGTGAGTGCCGTGGCGTCAGCCTGGCTCACAGCAACCTCAATCTCCAGGGCTCAGCGATCCTACTGCCTCAGCCCCGAGTAGCTGGACTACAGGCATGCGCCACCATGCGGCTAATTTTTTGTTTAGTTGGTCAATTAATTTATTTCTATTTTTTGTAGAGACGGGTCTCGCTCAGGGCTGGTTTCAACTCCTGACCTTGAGCAATCCGCCACCTCGGCCTCCAAAGTGCTTAGGATTACAGGCATGAGCCCACACGCCCGGCCTGAGTTGATTTCTTTTTTTTTTTTTTTTTTTTTTTGAGACAGAGTCTCGCTTTATCGTCCAGGTAGAGTGAGTGCCGTGGCGTCAGCCTAGCTCACAGCAACCTCACACTCCTGGGCTCCAGCGATCCTTCTGCCTCAGCCTCCCGAGTAGCTGGGACTACAGGCATGCGCCACCATGCCAGCTAATTTTTTTTTTTATATACATATCAGTTGGCCAATTAATTTCTTTATATAGTAGAGACGGGGTCTCGCTCTTGCTCAGGCTGGTTTTGAACTCCTGACCTTGAGCAATCCGCCCGCCTCGGCCTCCCAGAGAGCTAGGATTACAGGCGTGAGCCACCGCGCCCGGCCCAGAAGGCAAAAGGGAAGCTTTTCCTTGGCCCCTACATTAACAAATGTCATTCCCTTGTTCCCAGTCCCCTATTACATTTATAAAGCATTTCTATTTAAAGATGTTTAGAAGATTTACAAAACAGTGGTCCTCTTCAGTAGAACTCCTACATCCATCCATCTCACCCCAGAGGAAAATTTTAGCAATTTATGATTGTCTTCTTAAATCTAAGCAAAAGCAGTATTGCAGCCACAACAAAACTACTGAATGGGCTTTGAAGATGATGGGACATCTAGAGTTATACTCCAGCCTTCACAGAATTGTCTGGGGCCCTGATGGTTATGCACCTTTGCTCCTACGAAGTTGCTGGAAGATTCTGATTTGTTTTTCCTGGAGGTAATTGTTTGTAGACATATCTAGTGAACTAATTGATTTAAAAATGTTTGAATGTTGTTTAAGTCCTCACTAATGTCAACTCTTTCAGCTACTGGTCTGTTGGACATTTCTTGAGTGATTACCCAGTGTTTTGTATCTTAGAGATAAATATTTCTTAAACAATATTTTCATAATAAAATAAATTCTCCCCCCCCACACACATATAGCAGAATATATAGGAAATTAGAATGGAATTACTCAAAAGGTTCAATAGCCAATGAAGTAACAATACTCCTGAAACATGATCTAAGAAACACTCCCCTAGAGGATTATTTTTATGTTATATTATTAAAGAATATTGAGATTTTAATAACTATCCAGTGTCTAACGGTTGGAAGACAAGGGTCTTCTCTATGCCAAACAATATCAAATCATATTTGTGGACATATTAACATTTTTAGGCTTGATTATATAATTTGTTAATTCCTAGGCTCTTGGCTTTTTCTGTTATGCATGGGACAGTTTTTTATTGACTACATATTTCTCAAAAGGCAGGTCATAATTATCTCTAGAAAAAGGTTTGTTGGAGAAAGAAGGTAGAAGGTAAGGAATAAAATGACTAAGTTATTTGTGAAATTTGTTTTTTCTACTCTTATCCCAATTTTTATAGCTACTTGAAATTTGGCTAATAGAAGAATCAATGTATTATTTAGCACAGCTTGCCAGTTTGATTAATCTTCCCACATTAAAATTATATTATTCATCATTCAATCAACATTTATTGAGAGGCTATCGCATGCCACACATTGTGACAAATTCTGAGGATATGATCTTTGCCTTTACAAAACCTACAATAAAACAAGAAGGCATATATTGAATAATTAAATGTAAAGAATTCCAAGAAGGAGCAGTATTACCTCAAATATGAACGTTGTCTATACCTCAGTAGGCGGCATCTGCAATCTGTATCTTGATAATCCATTGTGAAAAGTCCAGTTAGCTGGTTCACCAAGTCTGTGGCCTTTTGTTAATACAGAAGCTGAAAGTATTCAGAATTCCATCTTAATTAAGCTTGTAACAGAAGGCTGCTATCAAAAAATAGTTTCTAATTATTACCACCTTGGCAGATAATTGCACCTTGCAAAGCACACTTAATAAAACAACATTGTTGATTTAGGCTAACTCTTTTCAATTTCTCTTTCAAAGCTAAAAGTATATTACAAAAAAAAAAAAGTTTAGTATTGGAAAACCAGTCTCTCAATAAAACTATTTGACACATTTGACCTACTCATGATTCAGTAAACCTCTAACATGACAGAACTCACCATTTTCTCCATTCAAATTAAATTGTTTTTATATAACCTCATATAACATCATAGAAGAGGCAGCTTGGTAACTCTGAAGTTTAAGTCCTTTCAAATGGGTTGTGGCAAGAAGGTTCAAAAACAAAGTGTGACATATGTACTAACAAAGCAGTATATGTAAATTCTGCTTATAGAATTAAGATTTAATTACTAAGCTTTAATAAAAAAGGAATGATTAGCTTGCTGATTTGTCAAACCCATAGTCTCACTAGCTGCTGTGTCACGAATATGTTTTGTTTGAAGATGTTGCCTTATCCTTCATATGGGAGGTTCACTGTATAGATATAGACATTATGCCATTAATGATGTCACAAGGTGGGATTACTAGGAAAGTGACAGTGGGCCCACATGATATGGTCATCTAGACAGCAAATGTTTACTTTCCAAAAAAAGTGTATGGTTTATGTCATGATAGCCATTATTCATGACAAAAGATACATTCAAGTTGAGATTCTGGGCTCCCAAATTGTCAAAAATCAGTTTCAAACATGAAATAAGATGTTAGAACATTAGTACATTAAACAGTATATCAAAAACTATATTAAAGGTGAGACAGAAAGAATATAGAAAGTGAGAAAGGGTAAAAGACTAATAAAAGGGAGAAGAAATTTTGAAAGAAAAGCAGAAACCATGATTGGATGATTTCCTTCTGATGTCACAATTACTCTACTCAACAGTAAATGTAAAAATTAGAAAAGACCCACCAAGTTAAAGTGTAAAATAGAGGGAGGACCCCCACCCATGCCTTCCCATCAACACAGGATGTGCCTCCTCTCATGCTAACATTCTGGTTGGAACTGACACTGGTAAGTTATATAATTTGGCCTTTAAACTAGATTTTCCTACTGAACATTGCTTAACCCTTATAATTAACACATGCCTTTACCCTATCACCTGTGATAGCTCTAACTAATAGTGCCAGGGTCAGGGCACCTTGGTTCTTTTTCTTCTAATACTACCATCCTCTAGCCTCATTTATAACTGCAGTCTCTGTATTCTTTCAGTATCATTTGATTGTGAATAAATCCCTGTATACTCCTAATTTTCTAGCAGACCTGTTTCTACCCCATCTTGTCTGACACCTATTTTCACTTGATGATACCACTTTCTCTGAGAACCAGGTAAGTGAACATTTTCTATTTTGCTTCTCTATTGATCAGAGGGGAAGGAGAGACCCTTGCTCTGCCACTGTTCTCTATGCTTTCTCTTCTGAAGTCACTTCCCTCTGATTATATAATTTGCTTCCTCTTTTCATCATGGTTCCCAATTGAGCTCCAAGATATTCTCCTATCTTCTCCAGGAGTTTTAACAGCTGCATTGTAGAATGGGGGTGTACCTGAGTCTTTGGTCCTTTACTCATATTTTTTTCCACCTCTCCCATCCAATCCTTTGGGTTGGTCTTTTGGATCTGCAATCAAAATATATATTGAATACAGCTGCTCACCCTCTTCACCAGCATTCTAATTTTAGCCACAATAATATCTTACCTAGACTTCTGCAAAGCTTCTTAACTGATCTCTCTGCCTCCACTCTTGCAGTCCATCTTCCACTCAATAGCTTGTTCTTTCTAAGGCAACAACCAGATCATGTTATTATTTAACATCCTCTAAAGCCTTCCCTTTAAACTTAAAAACAATATTTAGACTCATTAGAGTAGGTACCAAAGCCCACATGATCTAGGGTTTAAATCTCACCTCTCTTCAAAGGAAGGCTCCACCAAGGAAATACATGCAAACTAAATACATGCAGACCAGGCAACCAACAAATCAACAAAGATCACCAGCATCACAAAGAACCTGATAAGCCCAAAGGGAGGCCTTGGGGGACATGCCCTCCCAGTACATATGTCTACAGATGAAGCAGGCATTGTTACATGGTAAATGGCTAAGAAAGCCCCTGGCCTTCTATAGGGTTTTACAAGAAACCCTAATAAAACAAGATATTAATAGCAAGAAGAGGGTGTTCAACAATTTTATAATTGGAAGAAATTATTGGAAAAACTAAAATTATTTTATATTTTTACTCCAGTGAGTTGAGACTGTTTAATTAACTAGTTACTCTCCCTGATCAACTAAACTGACCAAGAATAATATAGTTCATAACAATAGAAATATAATCCCTATTCTGTAAACCATATCCACAATAACCCCATATATCCCTAAACTGCACTGCCAGTATTTGGGATTTAATGTTTATTCCCAGCTAAGTTTCAGATCACTCTGAAAAAGGCTGGCAGACATTTGCCATCCTTTCTTACTACCATCCCACCTTTCATGCAAAATGCCTTCTTGTCTTAGACCCAAATAATGCTATTAGTGAATGAGTGAGAGAGGTTTTCAGATGATCAAGTGATGAACTTGCAGCAGACTCTGGTTAGTACATGGAAAGAGGTCGAATAAGAACACGAGAAGAAGAGACAAAGAGTCAGGGAATCATGGTGGGGCCCAAGCGGAAGTGAAATAGCGGGTTTAATGAATGAATGTTCTCTGGCCTTCACAAAGACCAAAACTGTCACAAACTACCTATCTTAAGTCCCCAAATACCCAGAGCTCACCTATCCGCAACAAAACTAAATCTCTAATCAACATAGACTTTTTTTTACTCCTCCTTAAAGTCTCTTTCTCATAAAAAAGATGTCAAAGATGTAACTTGATAACACTAGCCAAAAAAACCCAGTGATTATTAATATATCAGAAAAAATATATTTAAGAGCAAAGAATACTAGCAAGGATAAAAGTAACTTATTTTAGAATCATAAAGTGGTCAATTCAAGAGGACATAACAATCCTAAACATATATGCACCTATGAACAGACTTTCAAAATACATGAAGCAAACATGGGTAGAACTGCAAGAGGCAAACAAATCCACAATTATAGTAGAGTTTGATACTCCTCTGTCAATAATTGACAGAAAAAGTAGACATGAAATCAATAAGACATGAGATAGTACAATGCTATCAACCAACAACAGCAGATTATGCATTTTTTCAATTATTCACAAACCAGTTAACAAGTTTCCATTATGTGCTGTAAAACTAGTCTAAACAACTTTGAAATCATTAAAATCACAAAAAATATATTTTAGGAGCACGATGGAATCAAATCAGACACCAATAACAGAAAGATATCCAGAAAATCCCCAATTATTTGCAAACCTAATAACATACTCTAAAATAACATATAACTCAAAGAAGAAATCTAAAGAGAAATCAGATAATCTTTTAAATTTAAATTGAAAACACAACATTTAAAAATTTGCAGAATGTCAGTAATGCGGTATTTAGGGAGAAAATTGTAGCACTAAAAGCCCAAAAATTAGAAAAGAAGATCTCAAATCAATGACTTCAGATTTCAGCCTAAGAAACTAGAATGATAATATAAATTAAACCCAAAGTAAGCAAAGCCACAGAAATAACAATCTGAGCAGAAATCAATGATACAGAAAACCGAAGCAATTGAGATTAATAAAACCAAAACCTATTGATCTTTGAGAAAGTCAATCAACTTGATAACGTCTAGTCAGACTGACAAGGAAATAAAGGAGAGAAGACAGAAATTACCTATCAGGAATGAGAAAGGTGACATTGCTGTAGATTCTATAGATATTAAAATAATAGTAAGAAAATATTTTGAACAACTTTATGCCAATATATTAGGCAATTTTCGATAAAATAGGAAAAAAAAAAAAAAACACCAGAAAGGAATTTTAGCCAAAGACTACAAGGAACACACCTATAATTAAGCAAATTGGATTTGTTAATTATTTCCATGAGGGAGAACACATACCCAGGGAAAATAAGGGGTGTCTCAGTAGTAGGGTATTAGATCTATTATGGGATTTGGACTTTGATAGGGAGATCTGAGTGAGGGTCTGATATAGAGGGGGTTTGCTCTAATTGGATGCTGTAAGAAAGCAGAAGCATATGGTTCAGCCATTTCATTCCTAGGTATTACCCAAGAGAAATCAAAGTGTATGTCCTTACAAAGATTTGTACATGAATGTTCACACCAGCTTTATGTATTATGCCTGCAAACTGGAAACAACTAAGATTTTCATTAACAAGTACTCTAAAAGGTAAACAAACTGTGACATATCTATTTAATCAAACATTATTCTTCAATAAGAATGTATGCACATAACAAGGATGAATCTCAAAACAAATGCTGAGTAAAAGAAGATGGGCAAAAGCAAATATATACGAACCATTTGTATAAAATTCTAGAAAACACAAATTCATCTATAGTGTCAGGAAGCAGATCAGTGGTTGCCAAGAGAGGAGCAGCAGAGAAGGTCAGGAGGGTGGGATTACAAAGTGGCACAAGGAAGCTTTTAGGTGATGGATGTTCATTATCTTGACTGTGGTGATGGTTTTACACATGTACGCATGTGCCCAAACTTAAATTGTGCAGCTGTAAAGATATGCAGTTTATTGTATATCAATTATGCCTGAAAAAACCTGTTTTTTAAAAAGGAAAGAAGATAGTTGGCTTTTCTAAACTTCATGTGCAGTCACTTGAACCAGAAAAAATGGACTTGACCAAGACCCTACTTCTTCTTCTATGCATGCTAGTAGTCATATCTCAATTAGTATATGCATATTTTAAAAATGTATTAATATTAATTTTGATTGAAAAATAATAATTGTATTCATTTATGGGGTACAGTGGATATTGTGATATACATATATAATGTGAAATGATTGAATCACACTCATTAACATATACCTCACTATGCTCATATATCCTGTTTTATGGTAAGACATCTGAAATTTACACTTAGTTATTTTGAAATATGTAATACATTATTGGCTATAGTTACCCAATAATGCAATAGATCTCAAAACCTATACCTTGTGTCTATCTGAAACTTTGTATTCTTTGTTCAAAACTCTCCATTCTCTCCCTCCGCACCCCCATTCCCACCCCCAACATCTGGTAACCATCCTACTCTCTACTTCTAGCACGCAAGCATATTTTAATGGAATGAATATGAGAGTAAGTAATCTGAAAGGTTAATTGGAAGTTGAGGCTTATATATGAACTTCTTTTCACCCAATTTGTGTGATAAGTAAAACAATGTTTTCTCCCTTGCATATACAGGCAATATTATGACTCACTATTATGTTTGAAGACTAAATTACAGTCTTGAGTTCATGGAATCCACACAGAAAAAATTAGAGAATTTCTTTTTTTCTTCTTGGCTCAGACACTGATTTTCATTTTGCTTCTTTACCTAGAAATCTGAATTCCTACTCAGTACAAATATTCAGAAAATTCTTATCTTCTCTACATACAAGAGCCATTTCATGAATCACATGGTCTCTATGCATGATGCTTATGGGCCCCACCTAGATTGGCTGAGAAGACTTTGCTAATAAAAGTATACTTTATTCCTTTTTTCTTTTTAAAAGAATTTTCTGTCAGCCTCTGAAGGGACAAACTATCCCCCCACTGCTATAGTCCCTCTACCCTCAGCTTCACTCAGATTGAAAGTATCAACACTCACTAGGTGAATTGCTGTAGGTAATTTATGTTGTTGCTATTGCAGTAGATTTTATTCTTGGTTAGGATCTGAGAAAACTGACCTTAAATGTTATTTGAGTCAGGTTGTATACAAACGTCTGTCATGTCCTCTATGGTTATTTTCAGGCTCATTTTTGTATAGTTTACCTACGTCTCCAGCCTCGCTTTAAATTTACTCAGTAAGAATCTACGTGTGGATAAGATACCCAAGTGAACTAAATGAACTTTAGAGAAGCACTAGGTGTCTAGAAAACATACAAACTCCAGTGGGAATCAAGTTTTTAAAGTAAGTTGATGTTTTGAGTCCAAGTTTTTCAAATGCATTCTTCAAGATTAATTGGATATCTTTTACATTTTGAATTTTTATATAAATTTTAGAATTCACTTTTTAAAACAAACCTGTGTTTTTCCTTGGATCAACTTTTATTTTTCACGAAAAGAAAAAGCTGCTTGTAGTTTTAACCTTAATTATCCAATTGAAATATGGAAAAATGCCGTAGGGGGAAGAAAACCTTAATCAATTAGTATTATGAGACAAATTATTTAACAAATTAAACTATCTATTAAAATATATTGCCGGGCGCGGTGGCTCACGCCTGTAATCCTAGCTCTCTGGGAGGAGGAGGCGGGCGGATTGCTCTAGGTCAGGAGTTGGAAACCAGCCTGAGCAAGAGCAAGACCCCATCTCTACTAAAAATAGAAAGAAATTAATTGGCCAACTAATAATAATGAAAAAATTAGCCGGCATGGTGGCGCATGCCTGTAGTCCAGCTACTTGGAGGCTGAGGCAGGAGGATGGCTTGAGCCCAGGAGTTTGAGGTTGCTGTGAGCTAGGCTGATGCCATGGCACTCACTCTAGCCTGGGCAACAAAGAGAGACTCTGTCTCCAAAAAAAATAAATAAAATAAAATAAAATAAAATAATAAAATAAATAAATAATTACCGCAAATCAATTCCTTAAGGAAAATGTCTCTAAAGTGGCATCATATTTAAGAAATTAGGAAATTAGGATTCTTGTTAGGATTACACACACGCAATGGTTTTTATAATAGCTTGTACTAGGAGAATATTTCCACAAGGGGGCAGTAGTCGATATCGATTTTATCCTTGAAAAACTATAAGCTTTTGCTAATTTGAAGATAAAATAGGCCTTTCTGAACTCAATCTAGTGTTTAGAATACAACAATTGGTTTAGTAGGTCTTTATAACTTACAGTCTTAGATGATTCCTCCTTTTAGGAATCATCAACTTAAATTATTTCACATTTAAAAATATTTAAAGGAATAAGTACTATGCATACTGACTGATTTGAATTGTGAAGGTGTTTTTACTCTATTTTCAGAAATATGCCTTTAAACATTTTTAAACTTCCCAAACTAAGATTTTTTTATTTTATTAAAAAATAATGGACCCACACTATATCCAATTGAATTTTAATAAGGATTCAAAAGCACCTCATTTTTTTCCAACAAATGTTGCTGGAACAATTGGACATCCATAAGTACAAAAATGAACCCTGACCTAAATTCACACCTTAAACAAAAATTACCTCAAATGAATCACAGACTTAAATGTAAAATATAATATTGTAAAACTTTTTTTAAAAAGAGAGAAAATTCTTGGGACCTGGGGCTAGACAAAGAATTTTTAGGCTTGCTATCAAAAGCAAAACCCAAAAAGAAAAAAAATCAATAAAATTAGTCTTCATTAAAATAAAAAATTTTCTCTTGTGAAGATACTGTAAAAAGAATTCAAAGATAAATTACAGAATGGGAGAAATAATGGGCATACCACATACCTGACAAAGGACTTATATATCTAGAATATGTAAAGAATTCTCAAAACTCGCTAAAAACAAGGTACCCGATTAGAAAATAGGCATAAGGGACCTCTCTGTATTATAACTTAAACTACCTGTGAATCTACAAATGTCTAAAAATTAAAAAAATAAAATAGTAATGCTTGTTTTTAGCATATAAAATATTCAGAGAACATAGAATTGTATAAAGTTAAATTATTGAACCATTTATTCAATCTAAATATTTCTTAATGCATATATCCATTTTCTTGAGGATGTGTGCATGTATTAATATTTTTACAGTAATATGGTCACATGAATGTATAGATTACTTTTAAAAGTTTATAGTTACCCCACATAAGTTTTTGATTCTCTCACTCCTAATAGTTGAATAGTATTTCATTTTGTAATTAATGGGTGATAGATTTATTCTTTTTAAAGTATGCTTTCATATTTTCTTCATAAAAAATGTTGCAATTTACAAAAATACAAATCAAGTAGGCTTTCTTCTGTATCTGTCAAATAACTTTGAATTAAAATTACCAGTTCAAATCATAAGCAAAATAAACATTTTAATTAATAGGGCTTCTGTGTAAGATGTTAGTAGCAGCATCATAGTTTTATTAATAACCCTGAATCTCTCAAAAAAAATTAAAGAGGAACTGGTATAACAAAGTAATATCCAGGAAAAAATAGTGTGCAAGTTATTACCATGAACCTCTTGCTAAGTCAAACCACAAGGAATCGAGAGAATCATCAACTGTCTTGGAGGAAGTGAAGGAAAGGAAAAGGATTTTCAAGGGCCCTGAGAACTGGAAAACCTAGAAATCCAAGTGCTAACACATATATTCCTAAATTCAGAGATTCCTACCCTAAACTCAGCAGGTTAACTTGAGACCAGCAGCTGAGGCAGAGAGGGGCCTTCCTGTCCCCCAACTCATTGCAGGGAGTGAGGTTGGCAAAAGCAGATGCTGTGAGTGATCTGAAACCTATGGACTCTACAAATAAGCCACTTCCATGACAAAGCTCTGTCCTTAGGAGAAACAGCAGCAAGTCAATTATAAATTGAGTTGGATAAGGACACGGAAGCTTAAGAAAAGAGCAGGTCCAGGTTAACATGCAAGAGCGGAAGGAAAAGGCAGTTCTCAGCTAGTTCAAGCATAGATGATTTCTTTACCTTCTAGTTCTAGAAATACCAAATGCAGTATATGTAAAATAAGAAATCACAGTTGAATATTATATATATAATCTTCTGACCCATTGTTACTAATCCAGTCTTCCCTCTACTCAGATCTGTCCCACTACAGACAGACTAACAGACGCTTAGCAAATAGTATCTAATATTTTCTTAGGAAAATAGGTGCTATAAGAGCTTCCTTAAAATTCCTACTTCTAGGTCTATAAATTGGTTTGAGCCAACACTGGTTCTTGATCCTGCTCATCTTGTTGAGGGCAGGGCTTCTCTCCACCTGTGGAAACCGATAAACTCCACCTGTTCACAATCAGCCATCCTCTACTGCAACACAGACACTGCTCCAGGGTGTCACCCTCCTAGTCCAGAATGAACATATTCATTCTCATTCTCTGTCATTTTCTCTCTCTCACCTCTATTCCATCAACATATGGTTTTTGTTTGATCATTTTCTCCAGTATTAAAAACACCAAATATATAAACAAAATACAAAAAACCTTTCTTTCCCTACTAGAGTAGTGAGTACTGAATTTTGTTTTATAATTAATGGGTGATAAGTTTATTCTTTTTAAATAATTTGTGCTTTCATATTTTATTCATTAAAATGTAACTTCATCTTCTGGGTGTTGATTCTAAATATCAATGAAATAAAAATAAAAAATTAAAGAAACACCAAATAAAAAATATATATAACTTCAAAAGCAAAACAAATCCAGGATAAAGCTGACAGAAAGAAATTTAATTGTTAGATGCTCTGACAACGTAGAAATGAGAGAAGAAAAATGGGAGCAAAGGGGAAAGAAAATGTATTTTGTAGAGAAAATTTACTGACTGCTCATCTATGATACCTAGAAGTCAAAGAATTTTGTTTGTAAGAAGTGTAGGCATATTTAATACCCCAAAAGGAAACACTTAAAGTTAAGTATATCAAATTGGGGGTTGACAGATCCCATGGGGAGAAGGAATAGAATACAGCTGGTATCATTGTTCTCCGTTTGAAAACAACAGCTGCAGTCTAAAGAAAGAGATGACATAGGGAATTATATAAGGCAGGCGTCAGAACGAAAATCCAACCTTCCTAAACATCACAACACCGAAACAAAACCAATAAAAATAAATGAGATAGTGAAAGACAGATGTATTCATATATATCAGTAGAATAAAATACTATAACCAAAATATAACCAAACAAAATTCTTATATCAATAAAAATAAATAGGCTTGACTCTTTCTCCTTTTCTCTTTTCTTTTCTTTTCTTTTCTTTTCTTTTCTTTTCTTTTCTTTTCTTTTCTTTTCTTTTCTTTTCTTTTCTTTTCTGAGACAGAGTCTCACTCTGTTGCCTGGGCTAGAGTGCCATGGCATCAGCCTAGCTCACAGCAACCTCAAACTCCTGGGCTCAAGCAATCCTACTGCCTCAGCCTCCCGAGTAGCTGGGACTACAGTCATGTGCCACCATGCCCAGCTAGTTTTTTCTATATATTTTTAGTTGTCCAATTAATTTCTTTCTATTTCTAGTAGAGACAGGGACTCACTCTTGGCTCAGGCTGGTTTCAAACTCCTGACCTTGAGCGATCCACCCACCTTGGCCTCCCAGAGTGCTAGGATTATAGGCGTGAGCCACTGTGCCTGGCCTAGTCTTGACTCTTATTAAAATAAAAAATATTATCATATTGAATCACGAAGAAAGACTCAATTCTATGATGGATATACGATACAAAGTGTTTTAGAAAAATTTAAAATAAAAGTATGGGTAATAAATAAAAGAATCTTCCCTTTATTCATAAGGAGTATAAAACAGTACATAAACACATGATATATTGTCCCCTTTTGTACTCACAGATGTTACACCACTAGTGTGTTTACTTTGAATATATAAATGATACACCTTTATATAATTAGAAGTAGAAATGGCGATAGTGATAAAAAGGAGAAAATAATCACCTCCACACTGAGGGCTGGGAGGAAAGAGCCATTTGCTGGGTACACAGTGATTACAATACCATAAGGCAAGCAATTCCCAACTAGAATGTCATTGCCCTTTTGCTGAGATCATGTATGATCCTGCAAAAATAGTGCTCGCTTCCCACAAATTTGTTGTCAGCGTGCCATTGCTGTCTACACAGAATGAAATATCAGACCTAGATCCAGTTGTTGTGTCATTGTTGGTCATATTTGGCTCTTTCCAGAGGCTATGTTATTTCAATTATATGTTTTGGATAATTTGTTTAGTCTTAGATAAATAATATTTCTGGAATGTGATGAGAGCTATACCTTGACCCATTTAAAATGACCCTT